TCTGCTCTGTGACAATAATATCTAATATTTATATGGAAACTTCAAGTTGATTTATGGGTATGAATTCATTTAATTCTCTGAACAATTCTGCTACATAGGTATTCTGCTTTATAAGATCGTTTGCTATTTTTTGATGACTAAGATTTTCCAGGATACTCTTAATTTCAAAAATCTTGTTCCATTACTGTTCCTTAGCTTCCAAAATACTTTAGAAGTTCTAGTATTTCAGCATTTGAACTACATATCCCAGACTACCTCTACTGTCAAAGAGTATATTCCAAATAATTTTTACACTACTTATCTTTTTAAAAAATATTTATTTTTTAGTTTTAGGTGGACACAATATCTTTGTTTTATTTTTATGTGGTGCTGAGAATTGAATCCAGTGCCTCACGCATGCTAGGTGAGCGCGCTACCACTTCAGCCACGTCCCCAGCCCAATAAACTACTTATCTTAATATTTTGCGTTAGAACATATGGTCATATTAGTAGCATTAAATGATTTCAGTCTATCTACCCACCATGCCAGCGAAGTTTGATGAATACTTACAGTCCTTGCTGTACTGGGTGGCTATTTTTATATTTACTGGTACCTCCTTTCCATCCCATAACAGCTGATTGGATCAGAAGGGACTTCTAATTCCCAGTCAAACCATAGGTTGCCAGTTTGTTCTGGCTTGAAATGATGGACTGGGCCTGACATTCTTTAGGTAAATATGAACTAAGAGACAAAGAGGAGCTTTCCACATTGGCCCTGGGCTGGGGTTGAGGTGTCCATCATGGCCATGTGCAGGATAACTGTCTGAGAAGAGATAACAGGTGGGAAATAGAGGAGAATGGAGTACATATTTTGAAAGAGGTGTAACAAGACAGAGAGATGAGTCTAAGAGACAAAAATGAAGAGGCACAGACCTCACATGAGAGAGAGAAAAACTGGTCCCGTTCAAATTGGGTTTCTACTTTGAAATTCACCTAAGATTCAGTGAACATCCTTCTTTAGCAAGTTGGGATGAGTCTCTGTTCTTTGCCAGAAGAGACTGATGAAAATAGTTTCTAATATCTTAATAGATATATATCTCTTAATTATATTCCAGGAGGACTGGATCTGGCCAATCAAATTAGTAACAGACAGATGGATAAATTCACCACGTATTAAATTTCAAAGCAAATTTAAATTTCTTAGAACTCTGGAGTATTCAGGTTGGAGGTTTAGTGTATCTTCTCTCCTTTAAGAAAACTTCTATAGAAACTACCTGCTTGGTGAGGGTTGACCATTCTTAGAGCTATTCTCCACAACCTATTGGAGTGCAATGCACCATCATCTCTGTTGTGGGAATGGACTTCCTAGGGAACCCTCATGCTCTTGGGGAAGGAACAATTCACAAAAATGGCTTCTTTCTCTATGGCTTTCTAATACTAGACTCTGTGTAGACCCTATCCTTCTGTTAACACTTTCTTTCTTCAGAGAAGTTATAATAGCTTTATCATAGGTGATAATAGCTCACATTATTTTCTGTTAGCTAGTACTGTGCTAAGTCCTTTACATACACATTTCATTGACCCGTCACATGACCCTGTTAAGTAGGCCTGACTCCTCACACAACCCTATTAAGTAGATATTGGGGCTGAGGGTATATAGCTCAGAAGGAGCGCACTAGTATGTGTGGGGCCTTGCGTTAGATCCCGAGCACTGAAAAAAAAAAAAGTTGGTATTTTTACTCCACTTTACAGACAAGATTCAGACAAGTTTAAAAGTTTATCCATGGTAACTTGCTATTCTAATTCAGGGAACAAGGAGAAAGCTGGGAAGGTAGCAACTACATTACAGGTCCAAATAGTTACCATTGTTACATTAGTTTTAAAGCTGGTAGCAGAGAGTAGGCTTACTATCTTGATTCGAGGAGACTCATGATTAAATGAGTTTTCCATGTTTCTTTAGCAGCTGTTGAGAGCCACAGCCGAAGGGGCCCCAGCAAACTTCCAGCTGCCAGCAAACTTCCAGCTGCCAGCTGATGATTGGCTCACAGCGGCCCCAGCAACATCTAGCTGATTGGCTCCTCTGCGGTGATGCTCATTGGGCTGTTTCCCTGCCCTTTCAGACCACGGAGCTGCTCATTGGGGGACTTTTTTGGCTCCGCCCACGTGACCCAGCCAATGGGCCTCAAGAGCAGGAGGATTGTGGGAGGTGGAGAGAAGCTTGTGTGGGAGAGAGAGGCTTGTGGAAAGCGGGTGGTGGCAGTTGAGGCTCTGAGGGTTTTTCCTGAGAGGCTGTTTTGTTTGGCGTGTGTGGTTCTAAAAATAAAGTTAGTTTCTTTTGACAAGTGGCTCCTGATTGTGCCCAGCCAGACTGCGGCAAGCAGCATTTCTACATGTGGTCCACCTCAATCATGGTATTTTGAGTATCAAAGATCATTTACTGAAGTCAAGATTAAAAGCTTTCATCTAGCATGTCAGGAAGACTTTGTTATTCTCACCATAGAAAATGAGAAAGCACATTCTAGGATTTAACTTAGTTCATGAAGAAATAAGCAGTACAGAGAAGGATTCAGACATATGTTTGCCATATCTAATGTGTTTCCTACACTGTTACCACCTATCAATCAAATTTCTAGAATTGACCCAATTTCATATTCCAATAGTTTTCCCTTGATTCCAATGTGGCACTAAATGGAAAACATGAGTGGAAATGATGTGCAGTCTTGGCTTCCAGGGTCATCTCATAAAGATGTTTTAAGTTTTTTTTTTTTTTTTGGCAGTAGCAGCTCTTTCAGGATGGTCTTAGTTTCTAGGCTCTCTAGACAATTTCAAAGCCACTTAGATAGGAGAAAAGTTGTTGTCAAATTAATGATAAGGAGCAATATAGTTCTTAGCCTAGTGTTTTTATTTTTCTTGGTTCTTCTGTCCCTAGGGAGTGTTTGGAAGTTCTTTGACTTTGAGTGAAAGCCTTGGATCAGCACTGTTCAAGGTCTGGGTGGTGGAAGCTTGACAGGTAGGCATTGGCCCCCTAAATGTCCAAGGGATTAAAAAAATAAAAAAGGAAAATAGCAAGTGTTGGTGAGGTTGTAGAGAGTTTGAAAACATTCATAAATTGCTGGTGGGACTGCAAAATTATTCATTCAGCTGCTGTGGAAAACTTTTTGGTGGTTACTCAAAAAGTTAAAACATAGGGGTCCAGGATGTAACTTAGTGGTTCAGCACTTATCTAGCATTCCCCCAAGCTCTGGATTAGGTCCCTACCAATACAAAACAAACAAACAAACAAACAAAAAATTACCACTCCGGTATGATTCTGAAGAGTTGGACAAAGTAGACAAATACATGTACAGGCATGTTCAAAATAGCATTATTCACAATAGCTGTGGAAAAGGTAAAAATAACCCTAAAATTCAGCAACAGATGAAAGGTAGAAATATCCCAAATATCCACCAACAGATGATCATCATTAAATTGTACTATAGACATACAAAATGGTATCTTATTCAGCTATGAAAACAATGTACTGTCCATGCTACAACATGGATGAACCTTAAATGCATTAGGCAAAGAGAAAGAAAACAGACACAAAAGGCCACATATTGTATGATTCCATTTATATAAAATACCTAGAAAAGGTAAATCGATGGAGACAGAAAACAAATTAGTGATTGCCAGAGGTTGGGGGAGGGGGAGCAGGGACTGGATCCGTTAAGGCTTAACTGGTGCCAGGGTTTCCTTTTGGGACATCGGAACCATTTCAGAACTAGATAGTGGTGGTAGTTGCAAAACATTATAAATACAATTACTGTACTAAATTATTTATTTTTAAATGGTTATTTTAATGCCGTATGAATTTCAGCTCGATTAAAAAAAAAAAAAGTTCAACAGCCTGTTCTGTGGTCTTGGAATCTTCCCAGCGGATCCAGGGCAAAAGAAACCATCCCTGCGGGAAGGGCTAAGCGCCTTGTCTGTAGGAGAGTGCTTTGTCCCCCAGCTGCTCGGTCTGTTGTGCATTCGCGTACACACGTGTTGGTTCCCACCGAGTCAGCACCCGGGGGCTGAGCCAGGTCCCGAGCTCCGCGGCACAGTCCCGGCCCTCCGGCAGCGCACTACCTCGGAGACGGATCCCACCAATTAAAACAGAACAAAAGTCGGTGGTAAACTCAGAACACAGGGGTCGGCGGTTCCCCGCATCACCGAGTCCCAGAAGAAAAGGGCCTCTGTCGATGAGGAGCCCTGGACCGAACTAATCGAGTCCACCACTGCCACATCCCTCGTGGCAAATGCATTCTTTTGTTGTTCAGGGAAAAGAAACGCACTTTGTTGGGCCCCTTCAGGAGCTCCTCGGCCAAGGTGGGGAAAGGGAACCAAGTCAGCCCAAGGATGCCAGCCGGGGAACGCCAGCTGGGGGCCGGCGCGGCCCGGCGGGTGGAAGATGGACACCCGCGCCCCGCCCCTGCTCCCCGGGGAGCCCGGCGGCCGCGGCTCGGGGAGGTGGGGACTGCGCGGGGCCGCGCTCCCGCCCTCCTCGGCGCCGACCGACCGGCAGGCGGCGGCGGCCCGCGAGGGGGCGGCGGCTTCGGGCTTTGTGGCCGCGGCGCGCGCGGCGGGGCCTGGCCGGCCGGGGGCGCGCCGCAGCCGCCCGGCGCTCCGGAGCCCGCGGCCCTCCCGGCCGCTCAGCCCCCGAGTGGAGTCGAGGCCGCCGCGCTCGCGCCTCGCCGGCCCCTCCCCGGGTCTCCGCGGCCGCCGCGCCGCCCCCGCAGGTAGGAGGCTCCAGGCCGGGAGGGCCGCGGCGGGCGGGCGCGCGGGCCGGTGCGGGGCCGCGGGCGGGCCTGGCGGGCTTTGGGGCCGAGCCGCCGCGACCCCGGTTTGCAGGCCGGGCGCCAGGCAGCCGCCTCCGCGCGCCGCGGCGGGACTTGGCGGGCGGGCCGGCCTGCTGCGTACAAAGCCCCGGGGCGCGGGCTCAGCGGTGCTCCTGGAGCTGGGGGATCCGGACCCCTGGGTCGGGAGTCGCTGGGGAAGAATCCAGGTGACCTGCAGTGCCGCTGTCCTCCCAGCCCCGGCTTCCTCGCACGCCGCGCTCTGCTCTCCGGGTTTCCATACTTGTCTCCATTGAGACCCCCTGTGCCCTGCCCAGGGGTGTAAGAGGAGAGAGCCCCCCACTCGAAGGATGAAGGCAGAGCATCATCTCTGCCGACTGACCTTGGGGAAGCTCCTGTACTCCGAACCTGGGCTGCCGTTTCTGTAATTGGGGGGCGGGGGGCGTGATGTAATACCTCTCCTCAGGTACTATTGTGAAAGAGATGTGTGTCCAGGATAATAGCTTAATTCTGAGCACTTTCTATGGAGCAGCTGGCATGAATTTTCATTAAATCATCGCACTGGTGCTATGAGAGCTACTGTAAATTACATGAAAAATCTTTATTTAGAAGTAGGAAACAGAAGAATTTAGCTGGGCTCTTCTGATTCTGGAGAATGGATGTTTGTTAGGTGTGGTAACATTTAGAGTACAGATATTCTTGCCATACTTAGAGTGGTTATAGGATACAGGGATATATTTATCACACATTTAAAACTAGAGGTAAGATAATAATAGGGGGGTCATGAGGTGTGCATTTCAGCATGTCAGAAAAGACCATGTGTCCCCCAGGAAATTGTTGAGCGTTAATTAAAAAGCATAGTTTCTGAGTTAGGATTGAGGACTGCTATGGGAATTTGGAGATAGGAGTGGAGGGGAAGAATCCTAAAACCCTAGAGACAATGTAGAGGAAGGGAGAAGGGTTCAGCCCATCCTCCCAGCAGCATGCTGGACCAAGTCTTCCAGCCTGCCTTTAGAAACCAGGGGCGCGTGCCCCCAGGGAGATCACAGGTTGTCTCTTCTTACTCTGGGGCAGGACAAAAGGGTATTCAGAAGGAATGCAGGCCCCTGACTAGGCAGGCCTCTTAAAGTGTCCTTGTCCCTTCTGTGATGCCTGCACTTCTTATAATGTGTTTCAGGAGATGGGGATGCTCACCAGGGCTAAAGATTAATAAGACGCTTAAAATACCAAGGACTAATTGATGTAATGGAGGAGGGTGTTTGAGTTACATTCACTTGGTTAGAGAAGCAGTGGGCCCCAGGAGATTGTTTTGAGTTTCATTTTGGAATGGAGAAAACTGGAAGACTTTGAACTATGAAAAGTCCAGGGATACACTAGGGAGAATGCTTTGGAAAGAGAAGCTGGCTGCTTCAGCATACCCTCTGCAGAGTACCTGGAAGACTTCAGTTTGCAGTTACCAAGAAGACAGTCTGCCCTGTTCCGATGTCTTACATAAGTGCTGCAGAAAGTCAGGCAAGACTATAGTAAAGGCAAGTGAACAGGTTCTTGGAGAAGTGTGCTTTATTTTGAACTAGGCCTTGAACAGAGGATATTTGGGAACACAATGTGGTGAAGGTGGTGAATACAAAGCATAGTGGAGAGTAATTGCTTTGGAGAGATAGACGATATATGGTTCAAATTCATTTCTCTGCCATTTTTGAGCATCGTAACTTTTTCCTGAGGATAAATAATGTTATTTTTCAAATATCTAACAGAGAACTCAACAAGCACTTGTACTGTTTTCCATGTCCATTCAACGAACGTCTGCTGAGCATCAGTTGTGTGCTGAGTCATATGCTACATGCTGGGATTCAGAGATGAATCAGAAGTTAGCCCTTAGAAATTCCCCAGTCCAGGAGGGAGACCGACATGAAGAGCAAGTTACAAAAAAATATGAGAGGTACTCCCAGGCATCCACAGTTGGTAGTGGGCTCATGGAAGAGTAGCTAATTCATTTGATAAGAGACTTGGGGCCAGTGTACGCTAACAAGATGAATATGAGACCTATGACAGATCTTTTGAGTGCTCCATTACCTCCTAGCTTTTATCTCTTGTACTCTCTCTTGTCTTTGCCCTGATAGTTCCTCTCAAGAAAAAAAAATCAAGCCGCAGTGTGTGCATAGTTTGTAAGCTGCTTCAAACTCATTTTAAAAGGAAGCTGTTATAAATTAAACAAACACAACAGCCTGGGCATTAGTTGAGGAAGGCTTCAGAAAAATCACATGGGAGCTGATCCTCGTAGGTTGGAAATGGGTCCTGGGTGAACCCTGGGGTGAAGATTTCAGCCAGAGGAAGCCTTGTGTGCAAAGAGGCATGAGAACATGGCAGAGTCAAGGGCATGAGGTGAGTTTAATCTGATTAAGTTGAAAAATACTGAGAGGATGGGAGGGGTGGTGAAGTGGGTGCTATAATAAGGGTCAGATCCAGAAAGTCCCTGAACACCAAGTGACAATATGGATTTATCTGTCATTTAGGGAGGGGGAAAGATGTCAGAGGTATACAAACACACGTGTGGCTTGATTACTGTGTTGTAGGAATATCCCTCCTATGGTTGTGTGGAAGATGAGCTAGAAGTTTGGGAGATCATTTTAGAGATGAGAGTCTGACCTCAGCCATGGGTGATGAGAATGGGAGAAGAGGGAATAGATACTGAGTGAACATACACTGTGTTGACATCTGGTTGCATATATTGAAGAACACACTGAGGTTTCTGCTTTGGAAGTCCAACTTGATGTGGCTGAACTCATCAGACATCAAGGAGAGGTAGGGGAATAATTAGTTTGTTTTTGACTGTGGAGAATTGAAGATTTACGAGGTTCCCATATTGGGCTGCTAAATAGAGGTGGTTGGGAAATAACTGGCACTGCAATTGATGCTAAGGAGAAAAAATAGGACCTGGGAGAGAGGTTCTCCCTGATAGCTCACTTTCTTTTGAACAAACACTGCCTCTTGTGTATGTGAAAGATACACATGAAATGTAGTCCCAAGCCTCAAACGGGAGATCTTTGATGTGGATAGATCCCAGTGCTGAGTAATTCCCAGAGTGCTGTGGTAAGAAGTAAATACATGGTACCCATGGTCTAGAGAAGACCCAAGAGCCAATGGCTGTAGCTGAAGTGGTGGGTGTGGAGGAGAGTGTCGTCAGTAAGAGAAGCAAGCTGGAGTGGGAACACCTACAGAAGGGCACCTAATGTATTTTGGAAGTGCTTTCTGTGGAGGATGCTTTAATATGATTTCAGAAGCATTTCAGGGAAGTCACTAGGTGGGGGTGGTTTAGGATGGAGCTGTTGGGGAGGCAAAGGAAGGAGCTAGGACTTTTAAGAACCCTCATCTGGATTTTAGAGAGTGGGACGACAGGGGAGGGGATGACAGGGCTCTTGCCTTTAAATACAAGGCTGGTTCTGCTCAGAGTTGCACTCAGACACAGATGGTAAAGATGAACTATTCAAACTACATGGCTGCTGGGATGGGTGGGCAAGGGGAAGAGGAGGGAACACATGAGAGGCAAGTTTGGTACTGGGTTGAAGAATGGAAAATCTAAAAGCAAAGAAAGAAGGTGGAGGGGCAGAGAGGACATGGGGAGTGGCCACCTGGGGCAGACAGGTCTGAACATGTGACGATCACATGAGATCTGGAAGGTTCATGGCTGTCATGAAGCTCTTGAAAAAATGGCATTTCTACTTCTTTTTGGACTGTGATGGTATTTATAAGAATAAGCCATAAAATGATATTTTTATGATGAAGCCCTTATAAAAGGAGAAATTTTACATAGTAGAACATCTAGCTATATAATTAGTAAAAATTATCAATGGCAAGCAGGTGGGTCTACATATATTCCACAAGTGTTTATCAAGTGTCTACTCTGGGGCTGGGGATATAGCTCAGTTGGTATAGTGCTTGCCTCACAAACATAAGGCCCTGAGTTCAATTCCCAGCACTACAGGAGAAAAAAGAAAAAAGTTTCTACTCTGTAGCCAGTTCTCTTCAAAGAGCTGTGGAAAACAGATCATATCACCTATCTTAGCCATTTTACCTGGAATTGCTTAACTTATGGAATTAAATCTGTGTATGGGCCTTGAAGCAAATAGCAGGATTGTGTGAGATCATTTCTTTCATTGGCCAGTAGCTCCACTGGCCTCACAAAAATCAGAAAATACCACCCATACATCTTTGGCAGCAAGCTGTAGAAGTCTGATTGCAGAAAATCAGTAGTGTCAGTAGTAGTGCTGAGACTCCAGCACTGGATTGGACTTCAGGGAACACCCCCTTTAGTTTTTAAAATAGTTTAGAGTTTAGTTTAGAGATGAGGAATTGACAGGGAAGAAAGAGGACTTGCCTAATGTCACAAAATGAGTTGGAAGAGTTGAGAGCAATGACCTTAGTTTTCAAATGATATGTTAGCTTTCTGTTGCTATAACAAATACCTGAGACAGTCAATTTATAAAAAGGAAAGGTTTATTTTGGCTCACAGTTTTAGAGGTTTTAGTTAATGATTGGTTGGCCCTGTTGCTTTGGCCCTGTGGCAAGGCAGCACGTTGTGGTGGGGGCATGTGGCAGAGCAAAACCACTCATCTCATGACCAGGAAGTGAAGGAAGAGAGGAAGGGGCAGGGCTCCCACTAGGCCTCTGCTCTTACAGCTTCTACCACCTCTCAGCAGCACCAAGCTGGGGATCAGGCCTTTGGAGGATACTCAGATTCAAACTGTGGTAGGTGGGATAATCAGTAAGTCTTGGGGGAACCTAGCGCAAAGGGGATCTTGATGGGAAGGAGTTCCAAAAGGGGAGAGGGCCCACAAACAAACCATGAAGATTCGATTGGAGTCTTTCCTCTGTTACAAGGCCTTGAGAAGCCCCTATTTTGCTATGAGTCTCAGTTTCCTCATAGAAGTAAGAGGATTAGACTAAGATCCTTTTTTTTTTTTTAAGTTTTATTATGTTAGGCTCTAGATTGTTTCAAAGAAAGGTTTGAGATATTGAGTCAGGAGGATAGGAAACAGCTTTTATCATTTGAGAACAAACTGATCCCCTACCTGGCAGATACCCTGGGGAATAGGTGCCCCATTTCCTCCAGCTCACCTACCACTTCTCCCTGTGTTGTTAGTCTCTCAAGTTGTGGCCCTGCTTTGTTCTAAGACTAATTCTCTTCTAGAGAATTAAGGAATTAAGATTCCTATTCTTGGACCTCCTCCATCCTGGAGTAGTGTCCACAGGCTCATCTCTATCACCCTATTTACCATACCACAGGATTCAGCCTGTCCCACAGTGCACTGTGTTGTATTACATCATTATGGGACCATGATCTCCTCATCCACCTTCAGAAATGCCATTCCCGCTGACTCCTGCACAGGTTAATCCTCATGCATTCCATTGCCCTGCTCTTGCTTTATCCTTCACCCTAGTGTACACACACATCCTGGTCATTCTTTCCTTCATAACAGTCCTTGGCATGTACCTCCTCTCCATTACCGTTGTCCCACTCAGAGTCCAGGCCGGCCTTCCTTCCTTCCTTCCTTCCTTCCTTCCTTCCTTCTTTCTTTCAGAGAGAGAGAGAGAGTCTTTTTTGTAGATGGACACAACACAATGCCTTTATTTTTATGTGGTGCTGAGAATTGAACCCGGGTCCCGCCCGTGCTAGGTGAGCATTCTACTGCTGAGCCACAATCCCAGCCCCAGGCCCTTTTTTATCCATTTTTTTTTTTTCTGAAGTATCTCCTTCTACTCTTCCTGCTCATCTCCTGTTCATTTTTACAGGTCTAGCACAATGTCCTCTTGTTCATGAAGAAGGCAGATTCACCTCTTCCCTCTCCTGCCTTTTCACCCAAGGTGTGTGGTCCTCTGTTAGGTTGTCTGCTTCAGCCTGCCTCTTGCTGGCTGTAGATGTTGGTTTATGCACGCCAGTGCTCTTCCTAGGCTGCAGGATTCATCTGGCTTTTATCTCTCATGTATTTAAGGGCAGCGCTCAGCCTTTGGCAGGCATGTATTCAATATTTGTTGAATTGTGTGTATATGAAATAAAAAGCCCATAAGTATATGGTTGAGAGATATATATAGGGCATATAGACCACTGTTCTACTTTTGGAAACAGTCTGATATGTGTGGGAGGTGGGAAAAGAACTACAATTTATTGAATTTCTAATCTATGCTTGTTTTTCACTTGCATTGAAAGACTGTGGTGCTCAGGGAGTAGGACAGGTTGGGGGGCATAAAATCCATTTTACAAATGAAGCATTGGAGGATTACTGGCTCATTTAAAGTTACACAGTCAAGTGGGTGCTGAAGGCCAGAACTGAACCCAGATTTTCTGCATCAAGTTTACTTTAGGAGCCCTAGTTCATTAATATCTTGACAACTGCCTAAGCCAAGGGGCCATAGCTCTTCAGTTATAATGCCCATTAACTTTAAAGAACTTCTTTTTCTACCAAAGGAAGTAGAAGCAAAATCTTTGCCAAATTTCTCTAGTCTTTGCTCAGACTTCAAGATTTGGTTTCACCCTTGGCTGACTAAAAAATCATTAGAGAGCATACCTAGTCTTCTCAGGTTGCCATGACAAAATGTCACAGATTGCATGTTTCATTTCTCATAGTTTCAGAGGATGAGAAGTCCACCATAAAGGTGCCAACAAGATAGGTTTTGTTTGAGACCTTTCTCTTGGCTTGGGGGTGGTTGCCTTCTCACTGTGTGCTCAAGTGGCCTCTTTTATGTGCAGAGAGAGAAAGAGAGATCTCTCTTCTTTTTTTTGGGGGGGGGGTTACTAGGGATTGAATCTAGGGATTCTTTACCACTGAACTACATTCCCAGACCTTTTATTTTATTTTATTCTTGGTAAATTGCTTAGGATCTCACTAAATAGCTGAGTTTGCCTTGAACTGGAGACCCTTCTGCTTCAGTGTCCCAAGTTACTGAGATTATGCTACCACACAATTGGTGTTTTTTCTTATAAGTTATTAGCATTTACTAATCCCATAGGACTACGGCCCCAAAATTATGACTTAATTTAACCTTAACTACTTCCTACAGTTTCAGACTATAAATACAGTCACACTGGGGCTGTGTTTGAATTTTGGGAGCACACAAAAATTCAGTGCTTACACACCTGGGTTTTTGCCTTAAGGTATAATATTAAATGTACCTATTACAATCTTCTGGTAGTTTACTCAGTGTTAGTGTTTTGGGGATTGTGCTAGTCACTTCCTCCTTATTTTTTTTATGATGTTAGAATTGTACTGTTTTATTTAAACCTGTCTATGGGTCTTTCTTTCTTTGCCAAATCCAAGGGAAACTTTCATTGTATTTGGATTTTGTTATTTTATTGATCATTTTTAACTGAATGCAGCTTTTAGTGTACTCTGTTTTTGTGTGTGATATTTTACACACGATAGGCAGTTTTACACCTGTGTAAAAATGTAAGCATTCATTAAATGTTTATTGATTGTCCACTTTGTGAGGGTCACTGAGCTGCTTGTTGGACCACAACCATGCGCAGGAAAAGGTAATGTATTATCTAGCTGAATAGCAGGTGTAAAAGAATTAGAGGGCAGGGAAGACTAGTTTATCTCTAATAAAAACTGATGCAGCAGGAAATGCTTGTTACGTTGTCACTTGTAGCCAGTCCTGGACATTGCTGAATAGTTTTAAAGCTAGAATAGGATTTCCAGCCTGGAAGTTAGTATTAATAAACTTTGCTGGTGAGAGCTCTTACCTTGGGAAGCACTATTGTACTGAGGATTGTCCTTCGGGTGCTCAAGCAGAATGCTAGAGTTTCCCTGGGGTGTGGGCCATTTTCAAGCTCCATGTGATCTCTACAGTTACTTTACAGACATGGTTCTTGCCAAATCAACAGCAGAAATTGTTTTGGAACTCTGGGGTGAGTGAGGTACCCTGTGCAGGGGCTATTGGGGCCTGGGTTTGAGAGATGGAGGGAGGAGATGAAGAAGGCAAGAGGAATAACCAGGTGGGGAAGGGGCAGGGAGGAGAAGAGCCAACAAATGGAGATGGGCAGAGCAGGCACCACTCCCTAAGTTGCCCTACCCAGATCTCTGCCAACTGGCAACTAAATTGCTAATTAATTGACATAATTTGAGCAAGGGAGTAGAGGCTGTCACTAGGTCTGAAATAAGAGAACTAAGTGGAGGAGCATGGGCATTGGGCTCAGACCTGAGGATCCTGGTCTTGCAGCTTACTGTGGCAAGTTACTGAGCCTCAGGTTTCTTCTCTGAGAAATGGAAATAATCATTGGCTAGTAGAGATAAACAACCTATTTATAAGATTGCTGAGAATCTATAGGGAACCTTTGGGTTATATTGGCTTGTACTAGAATCCCTTTATAGTCCTATGGAATGCAACCACAGGGCCCAGGGAGGACTGCTGTCCTAAGAAATTAAATGAAGTAAATTGGTAAGTCTGGATTTACTTAGTGATTAAATAACAGTTTAGTTAATAGACTATTAATGGTCCCTAGGTTTTGGTAATTCTTAGTATTTGTTTTTGAGAGCAGTTGCATAATTTCTTCTGGTACTGTAATTTTTTAAGCAAAAAAATTGAGGTGTAACAAATGATGCTCTTGAGCTATTTTTGGGAGAATTGTATGATATAAAGCATGTGGTATAGGGCTGGGGATGTGGCTCAAGCGGTAGCACGCTCTCCTGGCATGCATGCGGCCCAAATTCGATCCTCAGCACCACATACAAACAAAGATGTTGTGTCTGCCGAAAACTGAAAAAAAAAAAAAAAAATATTAAAATTAAAAAAAAAGCATGTGGTATAGCATGTAATCCACAGTAAGAGCTCAATAAAAGTTATCTACTATTACATCATTGCCATTATCAGGCACACCCCATTGGCCACACTTAAGGCAAAATCCCTTGTGAAGTTGAGATTCCCCCCAAGTTCATCACTGCCAGATAACAGCTAGTGGTACTGCACACATTGTGAGGAAAAATTATTAAATTGCTTGATATTAATTCTGTGTAGTTTCAATTCTATCAGGTATCACAGGGGTTTGCCTAAGAATGTGGCTTATTTGCTTGAGAGCTGCAATCCATATAATATTAGACAGTAAAGTGACAGTTTTTACCTCTGCAGATAGCATAGAATTTAAAAAAAAATGTGTTAACAATAAGAGCAAAGCATACACTTATAATCCCAGTGGTTTGGGAGGCTGAGGCAGGAGGATCACGCCTCAGTAGCTTAGTGAGGTTAAAAACAACTTAATGAGACTCTGTCTCAAAATAAAAGATAAAAAGTCCTGGGGACGTGATTAAGCACCTCTGATTTCAATCCCTGGTACTAAAGACAAACAAACAAACCAAACACCAAAAGAGTAATTGAAGTAGGGAGACAGATATGCTTTCGTGCTGTTAGTACGAATGTAAGTTGGTACAGAATTTTACAAGGACAAATTGATGGTTATCACAAAATATTTGATATTTTCATCTTCCATGGCAACCCTTCCCTTTCTAGGAATTTTTCTTGAAGAAATCATTAAAATAGGAAAAAGATTTATTTCAAAAGTATATGTAATATATATGTACACATACACACATTATAAAGTACATATAAAATAGCATTTTATATATAATAAAACAAAATAGAGAGTAATCGCTTTTCCCCCTGTGGATCAGAGCTTTCTGAATCCTTAGTAGCAAATTCTTAAAGAGTTGGGGCATGAGAAAATTATCATATTGACATTTCTGTGGTAGAGGAGTTGGGATCGGGAATCAGGTTAGAACTTGCTCTTGGAGCTTTGTGGTTTAAGAACATTCAGTGTACCCTTTGATTTCATAATAAAAACTACAGAAAGTAAGTTGGACATGGACATTTTGAAACATAGAGACTTTATAGAAGAGATAGATTGTGTAGGGCATGCATTAATAAATTTCAGTTTGGGAAACATTTCTTTGTAGTGAATGGAAGAATTGACAAAGGTGAAAAATGAATTTAGGATCTTTCAGGAAGAAGGGGCCTGCATTAGGGTCTTGTTGTAGGGAAATTAGAGTAATGTGATCAAACCACATGTTGGGAATTTAAGGGTATAGGGACACATTCTCCCAAAGATAAATGTCCTTTCATTTAGCATTGCTTAGGATCTAGGGCCAACCTGCCTTTGACATGTGTTTAAATCTCTCAATTTCTAATATCCAATGTTCCCAGTGTGACTGGGAAGAGGGGTGCCTGGTAGGTGGAGACCCTGATCACATTAAAACTTCATTTGAACCTTAACTTTTGGGATGAGGCAGTTCATTATGAGAAACCTTGATAGATTTTTGTTGCCCTAGTGTCAAAGTCCACATTCTTGACCCCAGTTTCAAAACTCTGATCTGGCCTGGTCCTCTGCAGCCTCAGTCTGATCCAATTACAGTAACTTCTCAGGTAGAGTGTGTAAACAGCTGGCATATTCTAGTGTGATTTTAAATCAGTGTACCATACATTTAAAAGCCACAGCCTCTCCTCACTCTGACTCTTCATTGTAGAAATTCTCAAACATACTCAAAAATGGAGAAAATAATGAATTTTGGTATACTTGCCACTCTTGTTCCAACCGTCCCACTTTTAGCTAAAAGGACTCCTTCAAGTTGTTTCCTAATTCTTTAGATATGGACTGGCCAGTTTTGAATGGACCACGTCATTATCTCCATGCTTGCCTGTTACTCTGAAAGATTGAGGTTTGGAAACACAGGAAGCTTTGGGAGAAGGTTGGCCCTTTCCAGCAAAGGGACAGACAATGCTCACTCTACTGCTGCCATCAGCATTGTTTAGCCACCTGTTTCTATCCCAGTGGAGAGTTTGAGCTTATAGGAGCCTCCTCTGATTAGAAGATGTGGGACACACACACAGGTCTCAGACTTAGTGGACCTTTACAATGCACCTTGTGTGTGAAAGATGCTGACTCAGCTCTGTAGGGGAATGGCAGGGTGGCCTCAGGGGTTAAAAGATTTGGAGCCATTCAAGGCAAGAACCCAAAAGATAGCTGTAGAATGATGTTAAGAACACCAGATTACAGGGACAAAAAAGGTTCTGGACTTTCCAAGTCACCATCTTTATGATCTTGCGCAATCTCCTGTTTCTTTCTAGCCTTTGGCTCCTTCAGTTTAAGGTGGGACAGTAGATTCAGTCTCTAGGTGTGCAGGACCTTTTCACTTCTTAAATTATAGAAATAGTTTACATAAGATTATATGCTTTTAAAATTGACCCTCAGACTTGAGGGATCACAGATTCTACCCTTATTTTTTTTCTTTCTTTTTTTTGATACCAGGGATTGAACTTTACTACTGAGCCATATTCACAGTCCTTTTTATGTTTTATGTTGATACAGGATCTTGCTAAGTTGCTTAGGGCCTTGCTAAGTTGCTGAGGCTGGCTTTGAACTTGCAATCCTCCTGTCTCAGCCTCCCAAGTTGCTGGGATTACAGGTGTGCACCACTGCCCAGCTCCACCCCCTTATTTTTTTTTATTTTTTTTTTTTTAAATTTTTTATTGTGGGTTGTTCAAAACATTACAAATTTCTTGACATATCATATTCCACACTTTGATTCTAGTGGGTTATGAACTCCCACCTTCACCCCATACACAGATTGCAGATTCACATCAGTTACACATCCATTGATTTACAAATTGCCATACTAGTGTCTGTTGTGCTCCGCTGCCTTTCCCCTCATCCACCCTCCCCCCTCCCCACCTCTCCCCTCCCCTCCCCTCCTCTCTCTCTACCCCCTCCACTGTATAACCCTGAGGGTCTCCTTCCATTACCGTGCAATTTACCTTCTCTCTCCCTTTCCCTCCCACCTCTCATCCCTGTTAAATGTTAATCTTCTTCTCCTGTTCTTCGTCCCTACTCTGTTCTTAGTTACTTTCCTTATATCAAAGAAGACATTTGGCATTTGTTTTTTAGGGATTGGCTAGCTTCACTTAGCATAATCTGCTCTAATGCCATCCATTTCCCTGTAAATTCTATGATTTTGTCATTTTTTAATGCAGAGTAATACTCCATTGTGTATAAATGCCACATTTTTTTTATCCATTCGTCTATTGAAGGGCATCTAGGTTGGTTCCACAGTCTTGCTATTGTGAACTGTGCTGCTATGAACATCGATGTAGCAGTGTCCCTGTAGCATGCTCTTTTTAGGTCTTTAGGGAATAGACCAAGAAGGTCCACCCCCTTATTTTAAAGATGAATCTCAGGTTGCTCTGGGAGCATGACCTAAGGTCACAGATATAGTGATGGAAATATCAGATCTTTGGAGTAATTTCTTTACGATTCTGAAATCTTCATAGTGTTTACATCTTCCCTTCTGTTTGATTGCACAATGACTTCTCTTATATTCATTTGTGACAAAAACTTGAAAAAGCCATTTAGTACCAAAGCTGTCTGACATTAAGATTTGAGGGGAATAATCAATTCCCTCACACTAAGCAGAAATAAATTAAGAAATCAAAGTGCCACATAGTTGTTCAACTTTTCTTTTCTTTTTTTCTGTTACAAAATATTCATAGTATGACTAAGACAAAGCACCTACTAGAAAATCTTGGAACGTCTAAAATCCAGTTCCTAGTAAATTTCTGAATATTCTCCTGTGAATCTCGTTATTCAACATTAATGGAAAAGAAAGTACTGATCCTCTTCCAACAAGAGAATCAAGTCAGGAATTAAGCTTAAGTGATTTGCCAGCACTTTTATTGCCGGAGTTGGTAATTTTTGCTTCAAACTTCCCTTTACAGGATAGCTAACGGCCCACAGAAACAGAGTGGAAAATGCAAAACAACGAAATTATAAAACCTGCCAAATACTTCTCAGAGTTGGAAAAGAGCATCTTGCTTGCTTTGGTAGAAAAGTACAAATATGTGCTGGAGTGCAAGAAAAGCGATGCCCGAACTATCGCCCTCAAGCAGCGGACCTGGCAAGCGCTTGCCCACGAATACAACTCTCAGCCGAGCGTGTCGCTGCGGGATTTCAAACAGCTCAAGAAGTGCTGGGAGAACATCAAGGCTCGGACCAAAAAAATTATGGCCCACGAAAGGAGAGAGAAAGTGAAGCGAAGCGTTAGTCCACTGCTGAGCACCCACGTCCTGGGGAAGGAGAAGATCGCCAGCATGCTGCCCGAGCAGCTGTACTTTCTGCAGAGCCCGCCCGAGGAGGAGCCGGAGTACCATCCTGATGCCGCAGCCCCAGGTACCGCTTGTAATTGAAAACGGGAGGAATGTGTTGACATGCAAGTCATATAGTGCATAAAACAAAAGTACTTGTTTAAATCCTTCTGCCATCTCTCTTAGAGATTTTATTATCACTTAAACATAAGGAAAAATTAGGGACTACATTAATAGAGCTGTTATTAATGAGAAATATCAGTTGCTTATGTCAACCCATTTCCAGTATATTAAAGAGAATTTGATGAGGGTTTATATTCATTCACTCACTATTTTCTCAAACAGTATGTTTTGAGGACCTGTTATGAACAAACCAGTGTGGTAAGCCTCTCAATTCTGACTTAAAAGACAAAGTACAGAGATTTATATAAAATAGCAAACATCCATTTGGCATTCATCCAAATTAAAATCCCATGTTTCTATCCACTATAATATTGTGATCTAAAGTTCTAATTTGTAGCACTTTAGGGATTTTGAAAAAACATTTTTATTTCAATATGCTTCTGTTGACAAAAGCAAATATGTCATACATAATTCCAGTAAAGGAAAATAATACAATTGAAGATTATATATGAATTGACCTGTTCACTGCAATTTGCAAAAGTCACTATGAAGCAGAGGAATGTTTCTGGGTGTTACTCATAAGGTATTCCAAGGACCCAGCAAGTACTTGCCCCAGAAAATCTGGTTCTTGGCTTGCAGGATCAGAAATTCACTTGTCAGTGTCCCCAGAGTAGATTGAGTTCTGAGGGACTGACTTCTGTTAATTAAAAGTTACCAGAAACTATCTGAAACCAAGAATGTTATCTGTGTAGAGTGAAAAAAGTAATTACCAAGTGAACCAAATACATGCTTTTGATTAGCACTTCTTTTTTTTTTTCCTCTCCTATAGGCAGATCACACTGGGAAGCTAAACTATGATCAAAAGTTTGCTTGTGAACATTTAGCTGAGGTTAAGTTCAGGGAGCCAGTTAGGTAACCACAGTGGTTAATGTAATGGCCCTCTTGCATCATTTTCCACTGCAGGCGCCTAGTGCCTCGGTTTTGATTCTTGGGTTCCCAAGCCAGGCTGGCTCCTTAGCAGACAGTGTTTTCATAGACTCTGCTAACTCTCTTTTCCCTCCCTGCTGTTTCTTTGGGCCTGCTGAACGACAGGGTTCTTGCTTTGTAGACGCTTCTATCTTCAGCTGATCTCTCTCCCTCTTGCTGGCCTCAAAGCTGTTTAGCCTCTGCAAGGCAGCATAGGAAGTAGTGCTGAGGTGGTGGAGAAAGCGAATCAGCTTAAGTGATTTTCTGGCTTTCCACATTGCTTGTATCCCCTGGGCTCTGTTGCTGAGGAAGATGCTGGGGTGAACTGCCTTCAGTTTATTTTGCAAATCTGTATTCTAGATTCTGGTGTATTGATTTTATAGGGTCATCCTTAGGGGACAGTCTTATGTCCACATTTTCAGAATCTGGGCTAGGATCTAGAAAGTTCATCCACAATTTTTTTTTCCTTAAAAAAAAACCCATTTATTTATTTATGTATCTTTATTTTAGGTGGACACATTATTTTGTTTTTATGTGGTGTTGAGGCTTGAACCCAGTGCCTCACGCACGCTAGGTGAGCGCCCTACCACTGAGCCCCAGCCCCAGCCCCTCCTTTTTTTGTTTGAGAAGAAATGATGTAATTCATTTACTCATAATGCACTCTATAAATTTTCAGCAAGAAGAGAATGAATATAGGTTCTAAATGTCCTTCCTGTCGTGATGTTTGCTGGAGATCACTTGTAAAATAAAATTATTTTAAATTAGATGCTTATACCTATATAACAATGGAGACTTTTCTTTGCTCCTGCTTTTTTCCCACCCAGTACTGGGGATTGAATCCAGGAGGGCTCGATCACTGAGCTACATCTCCAGCCCTTTTTAAATTTTAAGACAGGGTCTCACAAAATTGTGCAGGGTGGACTTCAATTTGTGATCCCTCTGACTCAGCCTCCTGAGTTGCGGGGATTACAGATCTGTACCATGGCACCTGGGTCACTGGTTCCATGGCGCCCAACCAAATCCTGTCTACTTCTGTTTCCACAGTGGAGAACCTTAGTGGTTAGTCCGTTGGGAAGTGTCCCCAAAGTCATCTCTTAGTACTATTAATTAAGGTGTTAGAATTCTTTCTACACATTAAACAGCTGTGAGGTTATTCCACCCATTTGTGTTTCGATTTATTTTCAAGAAAAAAAGAACAAAAAATAAAAGATTAGAATTGTCAATCATCCCTTCTGGGACTTGGTGGAGAAAAGGTTGAAAATCTGCTGTATATGGTTATGGCCCTCCTGGCCTCCTGTGTGTTTCGACACATGGACTATGTATGTGTGTTTGTTTTACCTGTGTTATCTCTAACACTGCACTGTCCAGTACAGTAGCCACAAGCTGCATGAGGCTCATAAGCACTTGATGAGTTGGTAGACCAAACTCAGATGTGCCATAATAGTACACACATTTTGAAAACAGTACTACAATAAGAATGTTGAATATCTCATTAAATTTTAGATTGGTGACATATTTAAATGATAATATTTTAGATATATTGGATTGATATTACAGAAATTAGAATTTAAAATTAATTTAAAATCAATTATGTAATATATTCTATTTCTATTGACAGTTCTATTATAACATCTTACAGGGTGCCTCTTAACAGAATTAGGGGCTCAGAGATTTGCTGGAATTTATTATAAAAATGTGAGGCAGGATGGAGCCTAGCAGTATTCCACTAGGGGCCTCCCTCCAACTGTGTTTCAATATGAGACAGTATGAACTGTGTCATCTTGATCACTGTCCCCTGGATATTCTTAGCTTTGCCAAGGACTTTCTTAAAATGTACAAATTATACAAAATGTCCAAATTGTACAAAATGTCCAAATGCAGTTTGAACACAGTGACTTTGAATTTAAGAAAAAAATAAAAGTAAAAAGTGAGTATTTTTTTCCGTAACATATTAAACAGTTTACACCCTGCACATTTTGTGATCTGTGATAATATGGCCTTGAAACTTATTTTCCATTATCTTTGGGGATCAGATGTGGAGAACAAACTAAGGGAGCCATCAAAATTTGCTAGGAGTGACTGGGAAATAAGATGATAGTCCAATACATTTAAGGAAACTAAGCCTCTGAGGTATCTTGGCATAATTTATATTTAATTACATATGTATTTATTTTCTCTATTATAATTAAATAAAGAGAATATTTTTAAATAAACATCACTGTTTAATCCAATCCCGTTTTTTTGGGGTGGGAACTCAGGTACAGAGGGCTGAGTTTCATTTGCAGTCGTGGCACAACTACATTATTGGTCTGTGTAAACCCCCTCTTTTGTATTAGTTATGTGTTCATCCCCTTTTCATCCCTATTCCCTACTTTCATTCTCTTCTCCTATACCCAAATTAGTCTAGTCTGCTTGAGTATTATTTCACATGTGTTTTGTGTGCATATATTTTTAACCTACATAGATGAAAAATTGTAGATATCTCTGCTTTTGCATTTTCCACTTAGGATAATGTTTTTAAGATCTATTCTCATTGTATATGAATTGAATCATTTCTTTTAGTTATGGCATTATCTCTCATAATATGCATCCATCCTATCTCATTTATCCATTTCTCCATAATCTGGTTTCCTTTGTTCTGTTGAGAATTGCAGATTGGCCCGTACACAGTTTCCTCATAGCCTTTCACTGCTGTGTAGGCTTTTCCAGCTAATGCTAAATTTACTCAAAGCCCAAGTGAAAGAACACCCTCTTGGCTGTGTTCTCAGTCCCAGAAAAGCTTTCCTAACCTTTTTGCATAAAATTGAGTTGTTTTCTACTTTGGTTGGTTTGGTTTTACTTGGGAAAGAGATTATTATGTGGTGTGTGTTTGTAGCAGGTTGCTATTCCCAGGCTAGCCTTTTTCCAATTAGGGGAATATTCTTCCTATCTGAACACTAGCTTTTATTAATTGGAGCTAACATGTTTGAAAGTTGGGTTTCCTACTTTAATTCCTATCTATGCTAGCCTTCTCAAGAGGCCTGTCTTTCTTGAAAATATGTTTGTTAGTGCTCATTTTAAAGAATAGTCTTAAAGTAGTTATTTGTTTGCTTCCAGATATGAATATACTGTTTGAATGTTCAGAGAGAACTTTTGGAGATCAAAATTTGGAATACATACTGATATTCTTAGTAATAGATGGCTTTGTAGTGGATACAAATTTGGGGCTGTATTTTACAGTATGTAAGTGATCAACTGAGCAAGCAGAGTCGTGGGAGGCTGAGTTGAAGAGGTTGAGCTTAGATTTTGGAGTCATGTAGATTTGCATTAGGATCCTGGCTCTTTCAATTAGCCAAATGACCTTGGAAATTGTATTTGATTTTCTATAATAATACCTCCCTCCTAGTGTTGTTATAAGGATTAGATAAGGAAATGTTGTAAAATACTACTCCATACCTGTTTCACCATTCAGAAAATGGTAGTTGTCTTCCCCCTCCTCTTCCTTCTCCCCTTCCTCCTCATGTCCCCAAAGCCTAGAATTGCTGAGATGAAAGTGAGCATTTAGAAATTGGTAGCAACAGCAGCATTGTGAGAGGATGAACTTTAAGGACTCAAAGGAATATCTAGAACTATCCTCTGGAATGAAATTTAAAAGCCACAAGGGTAGAGATATCAGAAAATGTCTAATGTGTCCAGTCTTCAAAAAAATATTTTCAGATTGAAGACTAGAAGGGAAATGGGTGAGGTAAGACTTTGTGGTTAATGCTTGTACCCCAGGTCCTCTGTCCTCCCTGTCAGCCCTCTCCAATTCCTTTGTCCTGTGCTTTAGTCACCCGCTCTGGAGTACTGTTCTTTCTCCATAGACGTGTTGCGGGGAGGGACATGATCTGCTGAAGCCAGTTCATCCCTCATGCATTTCTTGCATGCCCAGCACTGTCCCAGACTCTGTCTGGGTTCTCCCTGAGTAATAGGCTCAGAGTATTCAGAAACCTGAAGGGTAGGTAGCTAAACCACCTCTGGGTCAGAGGAGGGCCCAGAAGGCAGTGGGAACATAAAAGGAAGGGGATTGAATTGAGGCCAGAGCTGTTGGAGTTGGAAAAGAGTCCTAGGGAGACCTTTCATTATCTCTGGCACAGAAGTTCTCTCTCTCATTTTTAAAACTAATCTTCCAAAAGTAAGATTTTTACCTGTTCTTTAATCTTAATTAGGAACTAGTTATAGTTGTTACCTTACCCCTTGGAGTGAAATAATCTAAACAGTATCCATTTTACTTTTATTAACAGAGTATCACGAATTAAGTTTCCCCCAGTAGCAATTAACATTCCCAGCATCCTGTCTTCCAGAATAATGGAGTGGACGTAATAATGTAATCAACTCTTAATAAATTGGTATTACTTTTCTCTAAGGAGAAGATTCTCATTATTGGAAATGTAAAGCTTCTCAAGAAAGCCTTGGAGTCACAGCTAGACAACTCCATGGGTTAGTGGAATTAGTGGTTTCCCCTATTGAAATTCTCTAATTGACAATAATGTCATTATCCTATAAAAATATCAGTGTAAACATGGCACCTACCAAAAGTGGCATCCTTTGCATCCATGTGCTCTTTTCCTTTTGTATTCAAGGGTTCATCACAATAAACATCACTAGGCATCTACTGTGTACTGGAAAGTAATTTGTGCCCAATGATAAAAGAGATGACTAAAGCCTGGTGCATGTTGAGTGCTGTAGAGTACCTATAAAGAAAGGAAAGATCTGAGGTTTCACAGAGCAAGCAGCATTGGTCCTGAATGAGTAGGAATTAGCAGGAGTTGAAAAAGGAATGGGGCGGGGTGGGGGCAGTGAGCCCAACTTCAAGCTGAGGGAATAGTGAGACAGAATTATGAAAAGCAGCATGACTTTTTCAAGAATGTGAGTTTTTAGTAGGGTTAAAGGGTGCACAAAGTATTTTGAAGAGTAAAGTAAGAACAATAAAAGGAGGTTGGAACCAGATTTTGAGATTACTAAGGGTGGATGGAGAAGAAAATCAGAGATGGGAACCTTAGGGGAATATAAAATGGTAACAGGTGGGTGGAGAGGAGTCTCAGTACATCCAGGAGACTTGAGAGCAGCAATTGGAGAGGAAGGAGACTAGAAAGATGCCAAGGAGAGAGTGGTGCTCCAGAAGCCAATGGAAGAAAGAAATTTCAAGGATTGTCGAGTACCAAGGAAGAGGCTAAGTAAGGGGGACATTGACAAGTGTCCTTGGGATCTGAATATTGGCCCCATATAGCAGTGCAGTGGTAACAGTCAGGTGCAGGAGATGGAAGAGAAATGGTGTGGGAGGGAGCTAAGCCAGGGACTATAGACTCTTCTTTCTAGGAAGAGCATTCGTAAGATGTCCATGAGGGCTAATGCCTGTGAACAGGAAGTAGCAACCAGCAACCATGCTTCTGAGGAGATGTAGCAGAAGTGTTGTAGCTGAATGAGAAACTGGCAAAAGGTGATTAGTCTGATAGAGAACTTCATCTGAAGACCCACGTGGTTGGCCCTGTACTGTGGTCTCCTCCTCAGAGTTGTGCACATTTCAGTTTAGGATTTGTATCATCATCACAGGCTCTCTGATTCTTGATAAGTACATTCTCGACCACTGTGCCCACAGTTTGCAGTTCTAGAAATAACATAACAAAACCCTTTATCATTATTAAGGGGAAATTGCTTTTGATTCCTGGGGTTTTTAAAAAGTCAGGTGTGGCCAGGTTCCTATAGAAATGAAAGCCAAAGTAGGCACTATTTTAGACCCATCCTGTAATGAGGCATCCTATCATTTGAGCTAGGATTGACTTTTTTCTCTGCCTGTAAAATCTTTGAACATGTTTTCTGCTACTGTTTTTCAGAATCATTTGCTGTTTCAAATAGAGAACTGTGCGATGATGAGAAAGAGTTCATACATTTTCCAGTATGTGAGGGGACCTCTCAACCTGAACCCTCGTGTTCAGCTGTCAGAATAACAGCCAATAAAAACTACAGGAGCAAAACCTCTCAGGAAGGTGCTTTAAAAAAGATGCATGAGGAAGAACACCATCAACAAATGTCCATCTTACAACTGCAGCTGATACAAATGAATGAGGTGCATGTGGCCAAAATCCAGCAGATAGAGCGAGAGTGTGAGATGGCAGAGGAGGAACACAGGATAAAAATGGAAGTTCTCAATAAAAAGAAGATGTATTGGGAAAGAAAACTACAAACTTTTACCAAGGAATGGCCTGTTTCTTCATTTAACCGGCCCTTTCCCAATTCACCCTAAGACTTTGGGGGTGGCTCCCTTGTAATTAATCTGTGTTGGCAAAGGAAATCTGGAACATGAACTTGCGGTCAGTAACCTGTAACAGAGCTACAACTAGGAAAACTAGAGTGGTAGTAGTCACTTATTTAAGAATACATTCAGGTAAACAGCTGCACCCTATGTACCCCTTAAGTGGCAACGAAGCTGTTATAGTTTCTGAAAATTATCTCTGAGTGCTATAATTCTGAATGTATTGTCTCTTAATTAGAATTCATATAAGAACCATGTGTGAGTGTTGTATTTTTTTTTTTAAAATCAAATGCAAGTGTGACTATAAAGGAGTGTGGCTGATTTTTTTCTTTTTTTAGGCAGACAGCAGAATTTTTCTATCAAATGAATGCTCTCCCCATTGAAAGTGGCTGTCCAGGGTGCCCACCTGTTTCTCCAGTGGCTGTGTTATTACTCAGAACTTGCTAGAGGTCTTTAAGGGATTTCTGCAAAAGCTGCAACACCTCTTTCATTTTTTTCCAGTGTCATCCTCTGACTGTGGATTTTCTGTTTCCAAAAAGCCGAGCATTTGAAAGGATAGTTTCTAATGTGGCTCATAAACTGCCTTTTAAGGCTCTTCCCAAAAGAGGGATTCCAAATACTGTCTCCAATAGTAGAGAGTTTTGTTGGGAACTAAGGATGTAACAACTTTGAGGGAGAAATGTTTATTTAGGTTTCTACACTGTTATGTTTGTTTTATTAAAAAAAGACTTGAAATTTTATAGTCACACTGTGTATGTTTTTTAAAGGTGCTACCTTCTCAACTGAGCCCCTGTTTTTTGTCCTGTCTCTCTCCTTCCTCCCAATTTTGTGCTACTGAGTTCCTGGTCACCTTGCTTACAGTCTCCCAAGAAAAAGCTCTTCCCTCCCCATGCTCATGGTGCTAGAGAATAGTAATGCTGTGGAGTTGCCATTACATGGTTAACCTTGCCTTTCTAAGATTCCATTATCTACATATGTAGAAGTATGGATTGATAAATGGATATTTTGATTGAGTTGTGTGCAGCTGCTCCTGTAACCTAGTAGTAAAAACAGTCCTAAGAGGAGTAGTGGGAGCAGTCCTAAAGGCACAAAGTGACACTTCAGTGCAGAGCAGATCAGTTATCTCTGATAATGAAATTTCAAGGCCTTGTGGTGGGGAAGGAGGAGTAGATGCAGCAGGGGCTTTATAAGGTAGGGTAGGGCTAGGAGTCGGGGATCTAAGTTCCAAGCATGGCTCTGCCTTAAGCTGCTACTTGACCTTAAGTTCTTGGTGTGGCGTTTCCTGTCCACAGAACAAGGGAGCTGGCTAGACAGTGTTTGGAGTCTGCTTCAACTCCTTGGCCATGATTTGGTTTGTGTAATTTGGATGAGTATCAGCCTACATCATGATTGCCTGGAAAGCTTGGGTCAGTGGGGAACAATCGTCTCCTGCAATGGCTAAGCTCCTGTCCTTGATAATTTTTTAAAATTTGAGTCCTGGGGACTATAAGTTCTGTAAGGTACATCTGGACTGTGATTTGTGCTCTGGATGGAAGGTAAATGGGTATCAATTTACTTTATACAATGCATCATATTTTAAATATCTTAGAAGAATTGGTTAATTATTTTAGATCCTATAATGAAAGACTAGAAGATTAAAAGAGGAAGGATACTTTTATAAGGATTTCTGTCCTTAATTAATCAAATGGACCCTTTAGAGAATGAAGCATCCTAAAGTCTCAAGCTTAAGTGGTCTATGAAAGACCTTCTCCACATCCTCCTCCCATTCCATGCCTTCAGGATTAGGATAGGGAACAGCAGGTCCTAAACACAGATAGGAACTGAGAAAAGATTGCCTTTGTTTCACCTATTAATTCATCTTGTTAGTATGCACATTCTGGAGTGAGGACTGAGATTCTGCATTTCTAACAGGCTCCCAGGTTATACCAGTTCTGCTTGACTGGTTAACACACTTCTGAGTAGCAAGGGTGTAGATGACCCTATGAAGTTTTAATTTATCAACCTTAAAAAAAAAAAGGAGGTGGGGGGCAGTACAGTGGTGGGCTGGTTATTGTGCTTGCTGTAAGAATTTATGACTTAGGCACACAAACAACAATGTAGAACAACACACAAAATGTTGGCATACAGTAGTATATTTTAATTGAACTATAAAAGCACTGAGCTAATTTCTAACTGAACAAATAAAGGATAATTAAGCCAGCAGCCTAAAGCACCTTCCTCTACTGTTAATGGTATTTATGACTTTATAACAGTAGTTTGCAATGTTGACTATGCATTAGAAGCAGTATTTTATAAATAATTAATCCCACTGGGTCCCACTTCCAGAGGATTCTGATTCAGTTCACCTGGGTTGGGGCCTGGTACTCTGTAGTTTTGGGGAGCCTTATAGGTGTTTATGGTGCATAATTGGGATTGAGAACCACTTGCGTAGAGTTCACAAATGTGTCTCATTTGATTCTTAATCCTGTGGAATCCTGCAAAAGAAAATGATGCCCTGAGAACGACCTGGCACCAAGCCTACAGCTAGTAAGTGCAAAGCAGAACCTCAGCCCCAGGTCTTTTAAATCCCACCTGCCTGCCCTCAGCCCTTCCCTTGAAGCTATATCATGGATTTGTTTTATCCCGAGTCAGATCACATTAGGATACTTCTTATAGCATTCATTTATGAACAAGTACACAACATCCCAACTTATTTCATTTTTGAGCTCTTCATTACCTGATATGGAAATGCAATAACCATTTGTTTGCAGGTATTGTAGGGAATAGACAGATAAATGTTAAGACACAGTTCACTATCCCCTACTAGGACAAATCATGGGCACAGCCCAGTTAGGAGGTAAGGCTTATAGAGAGCTCTCACGTAGTTGGTCAGTGTATGTCTTCAAGCACACTTGTAGGTGAGAGCAGGGAACTAAGAAGCTTGAAGGAAGACCTCGTGAAGGAGGTGGCATTTGCAATAAGTCTTTAGGGTTGCCATTTTGGCAGGTGGAAAAGCATAGGAATTTCACTAGATGCAAGGTCCAGTTGAAGATTCAAGATGAGACACATAAATAGGAGGCAATGAAGGCATAGGAATTTCCAAGTTGGGAAGTACTGTGATCAGAACTGAACTCCAGGAGGAAGATTAGAAGATGAAACTGAGTGAGAGAAGACTGGAGTCGGGGATATCAGGTAGGAGGGTTTGATCCTGGTTAGGATGAGATGAGAGGAGGACCCAGAGAAGGGTGTAATAAAACCTGGAGAGACCAATGTGAAGGATGTTGCTGAAGTGGAATCAGTAAGGCTTGGTGGTTGTAATTGCTTTTGGGGGGTAATGAGGGACAAGGTGTTAAAGCTAGATGCCTGAAAAAATGATGCTGTGATTGAAATACAGGGAGGAATGGTATTTGGGCTCTGACCTAGGAAAGGCCTAGACAAACTAATGCTACTGCCAGCCTCTCAGCCAGGACCTCCACTCATCTTTTCTTGGGCTATCAAATCTTTGCTCTGATGTTTGTCTCTCCACCTGCGTGTGTTGTGTTGTCACTTTCCACCTGTTCATCTGACACTATCCCCTCCCTGCTGGGTCCTGGGTCACCCCTCTCATTTAACACTGCCTCTGCCATCAATACTTCCATTGCAGCCTGTGGTGTGCCATTCACCATCTCTTAGACTGGCTCCATGCTAGAACAATCAGAAAAGGTACCAAGGAGCATTGGCTGGGAGGAGTTGGTATTCCTGTGTATGCTTCTCACAGCCTCTCTACAAAAATCAAACATGGAATCCTACACTATGATGCATCAAAGATTTAGGAAATATCTTAGGATTTTGCATGGAGAATCTTAAGATGTGTTTTCATTTTGTTTCAGAAGAGACTAGCAGAGCAGAGGAAGAGAGGTGGCATGGTGGGAGAGTGCATTTGAGTTGTCAACAGTTTCTGCAGTGTCAGGTCAATTATATCAGCACTTGGTCTGGACCAGAGGAAAGGAATGATTTTGCCTCCTGGGAATGTCAGAACGACCTGATAATTATATTTGGCAAAGCCACGAGGAATGGCTCTGTAATGTCATTGCTAAGAATGACCCTTTTAATAGCATTTCTGGATGCCTGAGCTTTTCAGACGAATGACACTTCATTTCTACTGTGGCTTTCCTTTCTGTTGGACTGGTTCCCAGTTGGTCCTATTGTTCTTTTCCCTTGCTTTGACATCAGTCTGGGTTTTCTCTTCTGTCTTACTTCCCCACCCTGTTTCTTTAGCCCCTTCTGTATTTAGAGCATCTTCCCCTCTCCCGTTTGGAGGTGGAAGCATGTGAGAATGTGTGGGGAATGCTTGCCAAAGGACAGCATGGTTAGCATCCAGTATCAACAAGGTAACTTTGAGCCTTAGCTAGCCAAATCATGGATGACTCATTTCCATGCTCCACCTGATACTTTTGTGTTAGTGGGACTCAGAACGTGGGAAAGGTCATCAGTGACCTGTGACTGCAACAGATTCTTTTTCCAGTTGTGCCATATATTATGCCCTTCAGTACAATCTACTAATCCCTGTCTCAGTTTCTCCATCTGTGAAAGTGTTGTAATACTTATCTACCTCCCTTGAATGTTGTGAAGATTAGTATATGTTGGTAAAGAACTTTTAAAATAAAAAATGATGTCAAGCATTTTAACATTATTGTTGTCATTGGGATAGGGTTGCCCTCCTGTAGAGAGGCTGCCCTGCAGGGGAAGTACTCCAGATGTTCCATGGTTTAGGAATGGCCAGTGTGTAAAACTTCCATAACAAATACGAGAGTGCAGTGATTTTCTTTATGAAAGATTTTCAACATTCCTTAATGTTGACATTTCTTTAAATAGTACATTGGTGCAATTTATAAATAGTAAATAGTACATTGATTCAATTTATAGAAGTGTGATTTATACAAAATTTTAAAAGAACACATCTCCTGAACCTCTATTATTCAATATAATTGTTGGGCTTACAAGCTGATTATTAACCTAATGGTGCACTTTATCATCATTAGGTGGAAAACTTTTGTATCTTCATTATCCAGATGCCCCGAATGTGCGTGAAGTTTCCCTCACTGTTGGCACTGATTGAGGTGGACAAAAGGGTGATCCTGCTACTTATGAAAGGGAGGATCCAAGACTCTAGTCTTGTAGAATGTCCTTATATCACTGCTGGTATAGGGAGAAAGGACTAATCATGTATATTCTCTAGAGGGCTGAGAAAGTAAGGAGGTCTCTAACTGGTATCATGGTCCTACTTTCTAAATTCCTGGTGACTACTAAGAGATTTTATTAAGTTCTGTTCTTAGTTTTCTCTTCTGTGTGTTTGCTGGGGTAAAAATTCTAAATCCTGTTACTTAACAGTTTGGTTCTTTTAAATTAAAAGAATACTTGTTGTAGTGAAAATACTGTGAGTAGCAGTAGAAGGTTACAGTTCCTTTTCTGTTTAATCATCTGGTTCAGCTTGCAGCAGCTTAGGTCAGAGCAGGTGCTCTGCTGGTAAGGTACACATGGATCTAGACTCTTTTTTGTGTGTGTGCTGGGATGGAACCCAGGGCTTTATATATGTTTGGTATACACTCTACTACTGAGCTACTTTCCCATTCTCCTATCCACAGTCTACAAAAATTTCTTGGAATGGGCTAGTATTACACTTTCTGTAGGATTGGAGGCACTCAGCCATTGGAACATTTGGTGGCTGGTGCAGATCTGTAGTCACTCTGAATCCCAGGCCAAAGGAGCCATAGCTCTCC